ATATATATATATATATTGTAAAACATAACATGTATTAATAACACAACCCTATTGTATGATCGATTCAAAAACAACCCAATCGCAGTAATTGTAATTGCGAAAATCACGTGCTACTTCGGCAAGAACGCTCTGTCAGCAATGCAAGACCATGAGGTCTAAAATTAAGGAAAAGAAGGGACAAAAGTAACTCATACATCTATGACTCATACATCTATAACGTTCGTCAATTCAGTTCGAATGTAAAAATGTTAAAATTCAATTGTAAAACAACAGAGACAAGTACAGTTAGAGTTTGATTAAGTTAATTCAAGTTAAAATTCCAAAGTATTCAATTCATTCCATGCCCTCGAATTTTTTAATCCTGTATCACAATATCAAATTTAGTGAATTTTGCTTGAAACGATCAAATTCAATTTCAATCTCTGAGACGAGTATTAAATATGATTTCATTTATTTATGATTTTCCAGATCAATGAGATTGTCTCTATATCGACCAAGCTTGAATGAATACAACGTGAGAATATTGCCGCAAGAATTGCAGAAGATAAAGAACTCACGACTGATACTATTGATAGTGCCGCAGCATTCGCGCGGTATCGCCATTATGGCACTGGCAGCTCATTTGATTGGACTGCACGCTAAACTCGTCCTCTGTGTTCAAATTCTTCCTGAGGGTTCTATTATATCTGATGAACAAGTATGATTGATATTTTACATCCCTCCTTTTTCCCCAACACATACGCATATACATACACAACAGAATTAACAATCAAATTATGTAAGTCCTGAATAGTCATCGCAATCATATAAAGATCATGACGTCATAAACGAGAAATGATAAAGAAACAAATGACATGCAAGAAACGGTAAAGTTTCTTGCATGTCATTTAAAAACAAGGAAAATTTAGATAAAATAAAATAATGAGATTGTTTTAAAATACTTATAAAAATAGGTCGAATATTAACTATTCTTACTCCCCCCCCCCCCCCCCCCTCCTTCTCTTCTTGACAATTAGTAAATAGTCATAAAAGGAAGCGGAATAGTCATAAAAGGAAAATAGACTACGCATACACATTGAATAAACTCACATGCCTTTTACAATTATTTGCTAATTGTCGAGAGGGAGGGGAGGGAAGGAGAGAGGAGGGTAAGAATAGCCAATACGGTCACAGCGACTCAGGATCCTCAGGACTAAATCATTCTAGTAAATTAAACTTCAAGCATCATATAATTTGCAATTAATAATGAAATTAACTTTTGTAACAATATTGCAAAGTTATAATCTACGATACATATTTGTTTTTATAAACATTTGTAAAAAAATTTTTTTATAATAATAATAGTTGATATCATTTTCTTTTTATTCATTTAGTTGACTGAACAAGCCCGAAAAGATTACAACCGGGGGAGGATGTACCTGTCGGACTTCGCAACGCGTGAAGGTGTACCTGTTTTTCAGAATATCGCTGATGCTTTACAACATGCGATACAATTAGTTCAAAATCCTTGTTGACCTAAGTGCTCTTTACTGTTTTTCTTTTTTCTATTTTTTTCACACAGATAAGCTCATTAGTTTGAGAATTAATTTATTTTTATTCTTAACCATGTCCAGCTACCATTTGAGATCAATATCATAGATATAATGATGATAATGTATTATCATTATTATATCTATAAGAAGCGATTGTGTTAATTACAGTAATTCATTATCGCTATTGGCTGCTTTTGCTAATAAGATTGCTTTTTCTCATAATGTTTTTTTAATGTTAATGTCTCATTGATATACAGCCGCGTGTTATTTATGCTCTTTTCATTAATAATGTTGCTTGTTTACATAGTATTATTACTATTATCATTTTTAAGTTCTTGACAAAATTAAAACATGTGCAATCAAGACTTTATTTATGTCAAGATATTTTATTTATTCTTAGTATTTGTCATGAACACGGCATTTTTGAAGCAATTATTTTTACTTTGTTGACCGTTACATGATCCTTTTATTTATTTTATTTTATTTAAAAAAAAATATTAATTTTATATTGATTTAATGAATCGAGTAGCTAACCATTTTATTATATGCCCTTCTCTTAATGAATAACGTTAAATTCTTATTTAGTTATTATAGATTAATAAAAAAAAACAATCTCTCACGGTAGATGGACAATTTTTCTCTCATTTTTTAAATTGTAACTTAATGTTCGCAATTTTTTGTAACCTTTTGGTAATGTGGTTGAGGATTGATTTGATATATATGTACATAAAACTCATTGTTTCTAACGATCTAATCAAATTATTAATTTTTGGAATCTGATAAAGGAAGGATGCGAGAGAGAGAGAGAGAGAGAGAGAGAGAGAGAGAGAGAGAATGTGTGGAATTGCTTGTATTGGATCGTCCGGAAAGTTCGTGCCGCAAAAGATTTAAATTTAATAAATGAAATTAAAAATTTAAATCTTCTGCGTTTCAATTTTCCTTCAAAATCGGCACGAACTTTCCGGACAACCCAATATTTTGAATGCGTGATGCGTATCTCAGCTGAGTATATATTGATATGCATGGAATATCATGAATATTCGTGGTACATTTCAACACACAAATATGAAATTTTAACTGTCAATGATAATGAAAATTTCAGTATAAGATACTATTGTCTTATCCAAACCAATGTACAACGTATAAATGAACAAGTGAGTAAAAAAGAAAAAAAAAACAGAACCAATTAAAACGAGATGTTAGAGCTGCTACACTTTCCATAACAGTAACCGTAAGACATAACTTAAGAATTAGCTAATCAAGAATTAGTACAAAATTTTTAGCTCTGATTGATTAAAGCTAGAACATAAAAAACGTTAATAGTAAGCGAATTGGCCAATCACTACTTTACGTTCTCTACTGTGGTTGGTGTTGATTCGCTCACTGTTTAATTCTTTTTTTTATGTGTTTCTAGTTTTAAAAATCATTTATACTGGATTAATCGATTTCATTCTGTTATTCGATTGTAATTGGTCAGTTTCTTATAGCTTAGCATAAATTAATAGTTTATCCCAATATAAATGATCCTTAAGGACATCCTAAAAACGATTAATCATAATATAAGAACTTATACACAATTTACAGACAATTTACAGACAATTTACAAACATTTACAGACAATTTATGTGTCACTGACACATCACATATATATTACTACATTAATATCTTACATACATAAATTTTCGTATAACAATGGCGTTTTAATTAAGCCCGATTGCATAAACGTTATTTTGACGAGACTTAAACGAGATTTAAAACTTTCTGTCTCATTTTCAAACCAAAAGTGTGACAGAGACAGAAAGAGTTAAGCTCCGCTTAAAGTCAAAATAACTTTAATGCAATTGGGCCTTCTAAGTCCAATTTTACGACTTACATGATATTTTTTCGTGCAAACTATTAATCTGTGGACTACTATTTCGTAAGTACAGATTGCATAGCTTTTATATGAAGCAAATGAGTGATTATTCCTAGTAGAATTAACTCAAGTTCGAATTAGTTCACGGAGTAATAGAAAGGAATAAAATCTCTGCAATTTACTTTAGATTCTGCAGCGGCAAAAAAATTCATGGCTCTTCTGACAACTTTGTTTTTCCGGTTGTGATGGAGATGGAAATGTGGCATTCACAATTGAAACTGTCGAAGTGAAAATAACGTGTGTTGAAAAAGACTCATACCAGTAAAAAATAAAAAATAAATATCATGGTAAAACGGTGCTATTATATTAACCTGTACCAATGAACAAAAAAAAGAAGTCTTTTCAAAGCATCGAAGATTAGTTTTAAAAGTTTGCAAGATAATTGTTGAGTTTAGCCTCTTCATCCCCGATGTTGATAAAATTAGGCTCATCCCTATCCATCTTACTGATGTTCTGCTTGTCGAAAAACAACAAAAGTATCAGAATACTAGAGAAAGAATATGACAATAATTTCTGATAAAATTTCCAAAATTGATATCGATCATATAATTTTTTCCTTAAGGCGAAAATATGAAAAGTAAAAATTTTTCGTTTGTATGTGTGTAAATTATAATTTCATTAAAAGTTACGAGCCACATAAATAATTTCTAAATTCAAGATATAAGATTTGAAATTTACAGGAATACAATAGGATCATAACATATAATGCACGTAACGTAAACTAACATTTTCAGCGCCGACAGTAAATTTGGAACACAGCTCAAGTACAATAATAAAGAGCTTTTGCAATATAGTAGATTCAGATAGGATGACGCTAAAATCAAGTTATTTGTGCAAAAGTCGAACCCAGTTATTACCCGATCTAACCCGACCCATATTTTCGGGTACCCACACATCTCTACTTATTGACTCATTAATGTAATTGTTTATCATTATTGTTTATTATATTTATTTTTATTAATTTACATTTACTTTACATTTTATTAATTAACGAAGTTTTGTAAAAGTATATTTTTGTAATTTCATATTATATATATTTACAAATTTTATATTTATTCTTTTATCATATTTTATATTTATTCTTTTATTAATTAATGTTGTATTTGAACATCGCGTTACTATTTAGGACCAAAATTTTATACTAGCTGATTACTCTGAATTGTTGTTATACATGTTGTCTCACCTGTTTCTTTCCATTAGGTTTGAAGAAACAAATGAGAAAAGAAAAGAGGCTCAGAAAAAAAATCGTTTATTATATTCCTTTGCATGAATATAATATAAACTCGTATACACATAATCATTAAACATTTTTCTTTTCGGAATAAAACAAAGCTCCGTTTCTCATGCATTTTCTTTCAGCATCTTTTTGAACGAGATATTAATATATTATCTGTCATATGCGACAGTGAGTAAAAATTTTCAAAATTCTTATGCTCATATTTAATAATCGTTACGATTATATGATCCCATCGGAGTGGAAAGATATTCGAAATATGTTTAACACGTAAATAAAAACTTATAAGAACCTCTGAAATTATACGCTTATTGTTATACATTACCTTTTGATCGAAACGATTTCGAACGAACAATCGCACGAGTCTGCATGTAATATATTATTATCGATCAGATAAGTGACTTATTCAGTTTTTCAGTCTATTGTCCTCGTCATTTTTACTTTCTTTAAGATCGATCTTTTTTTCTGTGTTATCTTTTCCAGGAAAATAATACCTTCGTATATTCTTGAGAGATAACAACACCGGTATCATAGCCGGAAGAAATAGGGGAATGTATACGGCGTACCTGTAATATAAAATAATCATAAAATTATTTATTATGTAATTTAAAAAATATATATACTGAATTTTCGTAATGCTTTCTATTGATTTCATATGAATATAAGAAAACCTATAAAGAGGAATTAAATATTATCTCTTTTTTTTATGTTACATAGACGTGGATCGTCTATGTAATATTTCAATTATTTCAAGTAAAAAACAGTTTTTCGTTTCAGACAACAAAAATATTTCATAATTTAATTAATCTCATAAAGGCCATAGCACACAAGAATATATTCTTCTTTTAGGAAAGAAAAATAGCTTTTCTTCTAAGAAAGAAAAATATCAACATGAAAACACATATCTGCACAGCGAATAAAGAATATTATTTTATTTATTACAGTAATTTTAAGAACAAAATTGCAAAATTTGGCTTTTTAGCAGACTTTATAGTTTCGTAAAATATAAGCCTAAACGTTTCATGGCAAAATATTTCTTCTACCAGATAATATAGAGTCCGATAATATGATGCTTTTGATATTACACCTTTAATATTACGCCAGCAATGGCTCACGTACAACACGCGGTGTTGTTCGAAGGGAGGAATTTTGCGTACGAGGGAGAGGACGTCATTTCTTGGACGTTAGTTCTAGCATTAAAAGATGAGAGCGGAATAGGCCTATTTTTATTGGAAACCACTATTTAAAAAAAACGCACCATGCTATCTACCGCAGAGTGGTGGGGAAATGATAGCGCTCCAAATTTTTGAATGAATTTTAATCATTATTCCATTTTTTTAAAGCTAATTTAAAATTAACTTACTTTTGATCCTCTGGAAAGTAAAGAAGCGCCAAGAGTGTTGGGTCAGAAAAAGCCGCCTCAGAGATAATAAAAGCTTCTTTGCTAAGTATGAAACTACGTTTGAGATCGCCTCGTTGCAGATGCTCAGCAGATTCATGTACTAGCCCAAGAGCAGTCTTGATTCTGTTTCCTACTACATCCGTGATAACGATATTGCTAATTTCTTTGAGTAGTCGCGCCAGTGACTGCAGAGTTAATTTGGCCGAAGTTAACTGCTCAACAGTGCGATATCTCAATAAGGAATCAATTTCCCAATCACGTGATTTTAATCCCACTAATGGTACTGCCGTTACTCCGTTAATAGATTTCTAAAAATTAATTATTTTTAAGTCGTTTACATTTTAATTTTTGTATTTTTACATTTGAATTTTTGTATATTATATAAAAAATTACGAGGTAAAATAAAATATTCTGTCTCATAAAAATCGTAACGATGTTTAAAAACAAATTTCTAACATAACATTATTTTGAAAGATAATTCCAATACCACAAATATGTTAAGATTATAATAATTAAGTTAAGATTATAATTAAAAGTTTTTGAGTTATAAACAGACACTAGATATTCATGTTATTTCTCAACGCACGTGAAATACTGCTGGCATACAAGTGAGTCGAATGCTCACTGAAGTGAGATAACAATGCTTTGTTTACGTTTAGTGAATCGCATACAATGCAGTATCAATGTGATATTCGTAATCTCATTCAATCTGTACTATAATGATTGAATCTGGGTACATAAATTTGAATAATTTACACAATTAAAACAGACTGGAAAAGAAATTAGAAATTACTTTATTTAAAATTAAGTCAATATATTAAAATTTATTATATCGTTACCATTTCTGGAATGCCTAGCAATAGTCTGAGTTGTGCCAGGAATGTGCCTACTATAGCAGTTTCTTCGGGAACAAGAGTAACAGCTTCATTTTCTCGCGCATTCTCACAAACCTCTGATGATGGATTAATCAAAATCACACCACCCCATCTATATCAATTGTACAATGTTAAATAATTGAACTAAATTAGTTTCAAAATAATGGATTTGTCGAAAAAGTTAATTTTTATAGAAGATAAATATTATATATGTACACACACAGTGTAACAAAGCAGTTTTATGTTCATGCACTTACTTTAATTCTGGACTTTAATTCTGGAAAAGAATTTCCAAATTTAAAAGTAATATATATATATTTGATATATCTATATCATTCTACGAAAAATTATTGCGTTTAATTGGTAAAACAGTCGAGTTAGTATTCCTTTAAGAAAATCATTACAATAGTAATAAATGTGTGAATCACAAATCAGAAATGAAAGATACCTTGGAGAGAGAAAGGCTTCCACATTGCTATCTGTTCGCGATCTGTGTCCGTTGCGAGTGTAGATATGTAAAGGCGCATTGTCACATGGTACCATATAAACGACTAAATTGATACATGGATGAAGACTAACCTGCGATGCTTTAAAATTTAGTCAGATATGCTAGAAACGTATATTTTTTACATTGTATTACAAACCTAATTTTTTCTCCAATGGTGTTACAAGTTGTGGCAGAACATTCTCGCGCAAGGCAAAGTGCCTGCGACTTGGGCTACTGTCAGGTACACGTCTGGGATTCATATCTAATGGTAATAAATACAGCCACTGTGATTTGATAGAAAAATTACTCAAAATGGACAACTCATCTAGAAACGGCTGCACATATTCTATAAGAAATTAAATTTTAGTTACAAATGTGAAGTTGTATTTTTGTTAATGATTAAAATTGTCAGTATTTAGTAATAATATACATAGTGTATCAAACATTTTTTACATTTTTAAAAATGCTTTGTTTTTGAGACTGTTTTCAGACTATTACATAGTTAATAAAAAGTCATTACAGAGTATTTAAAAAATTATTTTTAAAAAATATTTTTTTAATTTTACGATTTTTCAAGCCACTTTGATTAAATAGTTACATATGATATATACTTTCAGTTACAGTCTTAAGGTCCCAAACAATCTTCAGCTTTTCAGGGTCAGGATTAACCAAGGTGACTAGAACATCATATGCCAGACTGGCTGGAAATCGTCTTCTATTCTCCTCATCTAAGCTATACATGGTAGGCTCTGCAAGCGCATTTTTTGTCAGCGCCAATGACTTATCACGTAGAATCCATTCTGACAATACTTGTATTAATGTAGATATACCTGAAAATACATTTATATAACATTATAAGAAATTTATTACTTATTTAGGTATTTATATAACATTATAAGAAAATTTTATTACTTTTTAAATTTATTTTTATAAAAATATAATTTTATTATATCATATATCATTGTACTCATTAGAAGGGACGGAAATTTTATATCGAAATACTTACATTATATATAGTAAAAAATTATGCTTATTTTTACATTTGTATTCTAACATAAGTAATTTCTCTCAGTGAACACTGTGCTTACAATAAAGTTTACAGCCGTTTAAGTTGAATTATTTATTAAGTTTCTCTCTATTAGTTTACGAAATAATAAGAGGTGACCACTTCTACGATAACATGTATATTTTTATCATCTCATTTGATATTTTATAGTTTTTGAAATTTCCTTGTTAAAATTCTTCATATATTGGGAGTACAAATTAGTTCGGTCCGTTTCCCTAAAGATGGTTCCAGCTGTTGTAAATAGTGACAGCTGATTTTGGCTGATTTTCAGAGAGGTTAAACATCTGCTAATAATATTCAGTTTATATTGCTTTGAGTTTCATACAAAAACCTTGATTTTTACTGTGTCGAATTTTGTATTAACCAAGCAGCATTTGCGGGAAGTTTTGATTGAAAGCTTTAATTGGAAGAAAAGTGCGGCTGAAGCCCATCAAATGCTTGTCAAAGTTTATGGTGACACTGCTCCAACTGATAAATCATATAGGGAATGATTTCGACGTTTCAAGGATGGAGATTTCAGTGTTGAAAACAAGCTTCGTTCTGGACAGTCAAAAAAATTCGAAGACAAAGAATTAGAGGCATTACTCGAAGAAGATTAGAGTCAAATGCAAGAGGAGCTTGCAGAATCATTGGTAACTCAACAAGCCGTTTCTGTACGATTGAGAGCCATGGGAATGATTCAAAAACAAAGAAATTGGGTGCCTTATGAACTGAAACTGAGAGACGTTGAAAGGCAATTTTTCGCTTGCGAACAGCTGATTCAAAAACAACAGAGAAAAGGTTTTTTTTGCATCGGAGTGTGACTGGAGATGAGAAGTGGATATTCTACGACAACCCCAAGAAAAAATACTACGCTAAGCCCGGTCAATCGTTACCATCGCTTCAACACTACAGCCGAACATTCATGATTCGAAAATCATGCTCTAATCTGGTGAAACCAAAAGAGTCTTGTTTACTATGAGCTGCTGAAACCTGACGATTCCAATACGAGCGATCGGTATCGGCTAATTGATTCGTTTGAGCCGTGCATTGCGAGAAAAACAGTCGGAATACGAGCAAAGACATGATAAAGTTATTCTTCTTTATGACAATGCTCGGCCTCATGTCGCTAAAGTCGTAAAAAAATATTTGAAAACGTTCAAATGGGATGTTTTACCGCACCCGCTGTATTCTCCAGACATTGCTCCTTCTGATTACTTGTTCCGAAGGATGCAGCAAGTCACCAGTTCACTTCTTTCGCAGAAATCGAAAATTGGCTCCAAAATTGAATCGCCTCCAAAGACGAGATGGAAAATCATTTTTTCGAGATGAAATTCGAAAATTGCCTAAGAGATGGGAAAAAGTAGTAGGCAGCGATGGACAATACTTTAATTGATCTATTCATTCATTTTGTTTTGAAATAAATGCATTTTTGAATGAACCGAATTGATTTGTACTCCCAATAGTTTTCCAAAATTTTTTAATAAATTTTTTATTTTTATATAATTTAGAAAATTTTTCAGATTTTTTAATACGAATTATAACACATTTCAGTAGTGCTGAGTCTATATTTTTTTTAGAATTCTTTATATATGTAAATTCTAAAATAGTTTTAAATTTATAAGATTTTCCATTTTATAATTTTTGAAAATTTATGATATAAAAGCTCAAAAAATTTAAGATATTTTTTCAAAAAACTTCATAAATATAAAACATGAAAGATTCTTAAAAATGTTATGAGAATTTTCGCCCGGAATACGTTTAGCTAAGAATAAGCTAATCATTGATTGCACTTTTAAATCCAGCAGATGTAATTGATTCAAACAAATTGCTTCAATACTAATCAACTTACTAGTTTCGGTGGAGAAATACAACGTTCTCTTTGAGCCAACTAGAACAGCGTCATTCAAATTTGTCGCTTCGAGTAATAATAAATCACCCACATCTAAATCGAAAGTCGAAGCCACTTTTTCAAGCTCGTGGTATGTTAAAGCAGATGCCAAAAGATTATTGGAAACTATTTGATATTCTACGTTTAGCTGATATATTTCTGAAAATCAAGGATTGAGATTAGCAAAAATTTAATATAAAAATTTAACGATATCGATGATTCCTGTACAAATTAATTAATAAATTAAGAGAGAGAGAGAGAGAGAGAGAGAGAGAGAGAGAGAGAGAGAGATGAAAAAGATAGATTCTTAGAAAGAAAAATAGGTAGAAATTTTGTGAGTGTCAGCTTAAATGCATTAATCATTGAAAGATAAAAATTCAAAATTAAAAATTTTGTTGAAAAAATTTTTTTTTAATATTAACGAGGATGAACACAAGTAATTTTATTTATAAAATTTTGTCAAAATTATTTGAATCTTTTCAATATACACAATATGAATTGTTATTAAATCTTTCGTGTTTTGTTTTTACTTACCAGCGTTTTCGAACGTACGTCTGATCTCATGTGCAAGCGATTCGGCGCGATCGTGTGAGAGTGCTGCGACAGTAATCTTTGTAGTGATTTTGATATCGAGTTTCGATAATTCATCAATTCCAGTATAGGGAAGTGTAACACGAGGCACTGTTGTAGTGTGCCACCAGAGAGGCACGCCGATTCCTAAGAGTAATACAGCGAACGACACGCTCGCGTATACTCTGTATTTTTCTGTAAAGAAAAATGACAAAATATTCTAAAATTATATAATATGCTAATTACATAATAAGCTAAAATATAAAAATAACAATAAATTCAAGGCTAATAAGAGTCAGCGCTGAAGAGGAGGTTGAACTCGCTTCGTGTAAGAAAACGTACGCCCTAATCACGAGAGAAGATTGGGTGAACGTAGAAAGTATGACCATCATATAATAGAAATATAGCAGAAATAGACATTATTATTATTTTTTTAAACTTTATTTGTTAATAACATTTGAACGAACAGTGACCGCCACCTTTTGAAGATCACTCAGGGTGATCACTCATGACCTTGACAATATTTATCAAAGTCGAAGTCAGCGTAGTGTCCGTTAATCTGAATAATTACCTAAGCCTTTAGACTACCGAAGCAAAATTTAAAATAAATGCAATGTATTTATTTAATATAAAAAATTTTCTTATTGTAGATAAAAATAATAACTGCAATAATAACACCGATCATTATATTGTTATTTTTAAAGAACTAATTTCTAAAATATATATTAATATACATATATATGTATATATATTTTGTATAAATATATATTTTAGTTCTACATACAATTCAATGAAATCCGTACTGATATTATAACATTTCCCGTAAATATTCACTCGGCTTTTCTCGAATGCAAAATGTGAGACAAAAATAAAGAATATTTTCGGCAAATCACGACACCATAAGTATTTGAAATTCATCAGAACTAAGAAAGATTCAATAAGTTAATAATAACTGGCGAATTTTCTACATTATATATTTCTATCCTTAGTACGTATTTAATTACTGTAACAATAATTTTTAATTATTAGTTTTAAATCCTAATAATTAATTTATTCTATTTCTTATCATTTTTCTATCATACAACTTATTATTTAAAAGCGCTAATTAAATTATTAAAATATTTATCAGGAGTACTATTTTCTAAATGATTACACATTTAATTAATCATAATTTATTTAAACATTTAATATTAAATATCTGATATAAATTAAGTCCTCTCTTCGTATTTCATTTTTGAATATTTTTTTCGAAAATAAGCAAATAAATGTTTTAAACAACAGAGAAGACAGAAATGCGCAAAATAAATATAATGTATAATTCATTTCCGATGTGATTCGTTTGAAATATCTGTTTTGTGTATATGCAAGTTCACTTCTTTCTCGTAGCAGTATATTTATTGGTTTCATGATGAGGAATGTAGATTTTTTTTGTTGCTATTTTGATGCCACACTGCATTTTAGGTCTTCTTTTTGGCAAAACAAGGTATAATTTACAAACTTGGCTTTTTTAAAAAGAATTGTTTACATGCATATATCGAATATAAAGACTGAACAATACAAAGAATAATATAGAACAATACAAAAATTTAGATTATTTAATTTATGTTTTTATTGTTTCTTACTCATACATATGTAAGTCATTTTTTATATATAATAACAATAAAATAGTTACTTATTTCAAAATATTAAAAGAATTGGAGAACTTTCACAAAATAGATATATACATAAAATTTTCATTCTTTTACTTTAAAAAAAAAATAACAAAAAAATATAAATATAAAAAAACATTAATCCTTTGCAAATAAAATTTTGAAGCATAAATCTATTGAAAAAAACAGTAAGTCTTGACATTTATGCTTTAAAATTATTTTAAAACGAACAATGAGAAATAACACGTATCTTTATTATTTTAATAAACTATTTCATCCAATGTGATGAACTTTTATTTGAGTACAAAGGAATTTTTACAAATTGGACTCCGAACAATATTGACTAAATGAAAAGTTAACTACTCTTTAATAATTCATGCGCAGAAATGTATTGATGTCAGAAAGCAACTATTTTATATGACAATATAGCGTTATCTGTAAAAAGAAGTGGTTAGGATTATTAGATAAAACGATTATTTAACAAGAGATTTTCTCTTAAGAGGACAATTAATTACGTGCACTGATAAAGACTTTGTAAATCGAAATGTTTGCATGACATTGTGGCATTATATTTATTAGAATAAAGTAATCGTTAATTTATAAATCAATTAATCATTGTTCGATTATAAATCACGATTGAATATAAATGTAACTATACGAAATATAATGTATTCATCCAATTGTACAAAAATATTCATTTTACATTTATGTTTATATTATTATAATAACAATTAATGTTATCAAATATTACTAATCTTTTAAAGACACATGGGTCACATCTCAAAACATTCCAAAAATATCAAAATTTCATAGATTGTTCCATTATTATATTTGAATATTTATATAAAATTTCAGCACAATTTTCTTATTAGTTTAAAAGTTTAGTTTAAAATTTTCTTATTTGTTTAATTTTGTTAATTTTGATTCTTAAAATCGTGTAATACTTATTTGCAAATTTGAGAAAGTAACATTAACATTTAAATTAAATTTTAAACATATACAATATGATCAAACAATTATAAATATATATGCAAAAGTTTATTTGGATATACATTTTACGCGTTAAAAATTATTTAAAAATAATTAAAATTGCAGTAAAATATAGTCATTTTGCTGCATAAAATCATTATAAGCCAAATTATTTGCTGTTTTGTTTTTTGTGGTTGATTTCAAAACATATTCACAGGCTAATATTATCAAAATTTTATAAATACTACAAAACAGGCGCGCGCTACGTGCGCATTATTTAGCATTTGACACTATTAAACTACACTATACTATAATTCCACTGTACTATAATTTTTGTTTGTCAAAATCCATGCGCTTATTTCATGAACGACGTAAACAGTTATAAATGCAATGATAATTGTTCACAAAGTAAGTGCATAGAGAGAACCAATCAGCGTCGCGGAATAGAGGTAATAATATACTTCGAGAAATTTGAGACATTCGATGTATTAATATGGATTTTTTCAAAAGAAATGTTGGCTAATATTAGCTTATTTTGATTGATATTTTTAGCTGATATTATATAGCCAAAACATCCTCAAACAAATTTTTATTCTTACAAACAAATAAATTATATACTTTTTTGATTTATAAAAATAAAATAAAATACTTAATTTCATGCACAATTAGTAAACTGATTTATCATATCAATCAATCATGTTTTATTTATTAATCCCTTCAAACCTGATTTTATTAAAACCAAGTTAAAAAATGTTTGATTCAATTCACGCGCATTTTAATAAGTAATTCAATAAATAATTAATTTTTTTCCAAAATTTTGACTATTTTTCCAACATGTACATTATTCATCAAATTCTCAGATGACGTCGATAGAATTAAACAATTTCAACGAATAACATCTCCAAATTTGATGTTACATGAAGGTATTAATATATTGATATATCAATTGTTATTATTTAATTACAAGTTTTATTTCTTATGCAATAAGCAGATATAGAATTTCTTAGATTTTTTTCTACTCTTCTCATTATATTACTTACAAGTAATAATAGTATGTTTAATATAAAGTATACTTATTTACAATATATTTGTTTAAATCATATCTTCTCTCTCTCTCTCTCCTTTCCTCTCCCTCTCTCTCTCCCTCCCTCTCTCTCTCTCTCTCTC